AATTTCTGGAACCTAAACTTTTGGACGTCTGGGCAGTCTTCGGGCGCGCTGGGTGTCGCCGTTGATGTCACCGCCGTCGTCGTCGTCGTCACCGTCACCGTCACCGTCACCGTCGTCGTCGTCGTCGTCGTCGTCGTCGTCGTCGTTGTCCGTCGGTCGTCGTCGTCGTCCGTCGGTCGTCGTCGTCGTCGTCGTCGTCGTCGTCGTCGTGGTCGTCAACGTCGTCATCGTGGTCGTCGTCGTCGTCGTGGTCGGTCTTCGCTTCTTCTTCTTCTTTCTCCTTCTCTTTCTCCTCCTCTCCCTCGTTCTCCTTGTCCTCCTCGTCCTCCTGAATCTCCTCCTCCTCTCCTCCTCCTCCCTCGTCCTCCTCGTCTTTTTGGTGACCCGAGGCGCTCCTGGCCACTCGAAGAGCAAACGGCACGCCACGACAAGAGGGTGGGTCACAAGCAAGGTGTGGTCGGGGGAGGCGGGGGCAGGGGCAAAGGGGGGGCGGAACGAGGGAACAAAGAGAGGAAAAAGCAAAAAAGACGGGCCGAGCTTGGACTCCGACCCTGGAACAAGCCCTCCGAGGAGCCTCGGGCGCTCCGAGCTCTTTTCGGGTCGGGCGAAAGAGGGGGATAGCACAGGGGGGTTTGAGAATCAGCTCACGTAGCTGATTTTCCCGGCGCCCCCCGGCGCCCGAGGCGGCTATGTATCGAGGAATGGGCCGCTCGGTGAAGCCGAAACCAGCTGCATGCAGCAAATTTCGAACCCCCCCCTTTCCCAATCCCCCCCTTTCGTCCGGCCTGGTCTTCTTGGGGCTGGGACAGGGAAGCGGGAGCTTCCCTCCACACTTGGAGGAGGCCCCCCCCCAACCTTACGCAGGACGTAGCGGGACGATCCGAACCGACAGGCCTCGCCCGGTGGAGCTTGCGATGAGCCTCGGTCTCCAGACAGCAGGCGGCAACTTTTTTTTTTGGTTGCTGTTTTTTTGTTTTTAAAGAAAAATAAGCATTATATATGTGTATGTACAAATACGCATATACTAGAGCGGGGTTAACTTTGCGGCGGGGGGGGCCCGATCCAGGACCAACAGCCGGCAACACAGCTCATGCAGATCTATGACATTTCCCGAGGGGGCACTCCGATGGAGACCCCGTGGCCCAGGCGCAGGAGCGCCGACAGGCCGCCGGAGCTTGCCGAGCAATGAAGGCTCAGTCGACGGGAGCGTGGCGCGCACAGGAGCCATCCCGACACACAACGCTTACAGTCAAACACACGATTAAGAAAACTATCAATTGAGCAAGCTGGGCCAGCTTTTCAGGAATTTCTCAAGAAAACGCTGGGCCAGCTTTTTGGAGCCAGGGACGTACACGATTCATGTCCAGGATCCAAGGCTACCGATCCCCTTGAGAAACCGAGCAAGTTTTCCGGCAAATTGGTTAAGAAACGCTGGGCCAGCTTTTCGGCGGGAGGTTTCTTAATCATAAGCGGGACCGTAATACTCGATCTCCGCAATTCTTAAACGTTGGCCCACCAGTCAACAACCGTGGACCCAGCAACGCGGCTGCGCGTGTCAAGATCGGCAGCCTGGTCCATGGCTTGATGGGTTTTGACCTTCCGGAGAGAGGTCCGCGCAGACCGCCCCATTCCCCGATTCATTCCCCTCCAGAAAACAAGCAAAAATGAGCTGGGGAGCCCCCCCCCGGCTTCCTAGTCGATCGAACCCCAGCGAACACCGACTGGTCATCGGCGACGAAGGGATTGGAGGGGACCTCGGGGCCAGAAATCTGTCTCCTGAAAGCGACCAGTGCAAGGCAAGTGCAGCGTGCCCGGCAGTACCAGAAGTCTGGGCAAACTCCTTGGGGAGAGGACGAACGACTCCACTGACCACCCTTTCGCCTTCCATGCGCACTGCTCCAGCTCCTGCCCTGGCAATCTCTTCTCGATTTTCATGGTACCAGAGGCCATCCATTAAAACATCATCTTCTGTGGGCAACCAGCATGGTTCCGACTCTCCCGTCCCCCTCGAACAGCCTAAGACCACAATCTGGGGCGGGAGGCGGCGTATCCTGGGAAGCTGTAGAAAACCTGGAACCGAGAAGGGAGTTGGGACCAGCAGCAATGATCTGCGAAATCAGCTCATCACTAAAATACTCTCGCCTCCGAGCAAGAGGCTTCTCGTGCTGGCGAAGCAGCCGAGCTCGGTGCCAAGTGTCATCGTACATAGGGAATTCATCACTCTCCTTTTAGTTCCACTTAGCGAGAGCGGAACCCGTGGGGGTGGACGCACACAAAAATTGACGATAAATCTGTTCGAGGTCGGCTGGCACAGCTTCTGCTACCCTGGCCACATGGCAAGTAGCCGCAGCTCGCCAATCAAATATCCTTGGCTGAGGGGGCCGTAGATATTCTGGAGCAGGACCTGCGAAAGATCTGAGATGAAAGCTTCGGCAATCTGCTGGGGAGGGGACTCAATGCGAATCCATTTCCTCCCCTGAGAAGGTCCCGAAAAATGGCCGGCCCCTCCTGGGACAATCCAACTCTTTCAAACCACAAAACCATGGCAGAGATGGGACCCCTGGCGACACACAACAAGGAACGTCCAGCAGTTTCTGCAAACTGACCAGATGCCGCTCCGACATTTTTGCTCCACTCACCAGGGGGGTCAGTGCGTCACGATGCTGTGGGCCTCCGCGAGGCCCTGGTGGGGAGACGTGCCACCCCTCCCACGCATACCTCCGAATGGGACCAACTGCAAAATGAATAGGGCCCCCTCCTCCTGGCACGTACCCTGGGGCGCCACCGGGTTCGGTCTCAAACACCCCATGGAAAGCGCTGAAACGCCGCTCTGACCGCCTGACCTTCTGGGGGTCTCCTCCTCCTCCTCCTCCTCCTCCTCCTCCGCCCCCTCCTCACTGGTGCTGGCCATCGCTCGGACGTCCATTCCCTGTGTTTTTTTCGGTTTCGTGCGTGGTTTTTTGCCAAATGATCACGGATTCTCCTCGATAGTCCTCCCCGAAGGAAAAATGCACACGTCCGAGCGATGCCAGGTGGTCAGACCCATGGGCCTTCACCACCCAGGGGGGGACCGTCAGGGGGGGACCGGCTCACGGGGGGAAGCATCGAGCTGGAATAGGGCGACGCCTCGCCGAGAGATCGGCGGTAGGCCCCCCTATAATATAGGAGGCCTGTGCTTCCTGAGCTGAGGAGGACGGCGGTGATGTCCATGGCCCGGCCGCGTGCCCCACGCGCTTCCATACCCTGAGTTCGTCGTCGTTGTCGTCGTCGTCGCGGCACAACACTGCACCGGAGGAGGGGGAGGAGGAGGGGGACAAGCTAGGTGCGCTCGCGTCATGTCTGACGCCCTACCCCTCCCTCCCATCCCTTACCATGACGTAGAACTCCTCTCTCTTCGCACAGTCGGATGTCGACCAGGGCAATGATTGCGAGAGGGTGCGCGATGCATCGTAGAGCACGGCATGGCATGGCTTAGAAGAGCAAGGCAGAACGTAGAATGTCATAGCATGGCGTGGCATTGCGTAGTGAAGCATTGCATCACAAAGCGTTGGCAAAGCGTGGCATCGCACAGCGGCGCAGCACAGAACACCGCACATCATGTCATGGCAGGGCACAGGGTTCCTGGGAGGGTAAGTGGATAGTCTTCGAAGGGTCTGGGCCGGTCTTGAGTCGCGGCTCCATGTGTAGCTTCGTGGGCTCCGCGAAAGGCTCCCCACAAGGCGGGGCTGATAGAGAGCACCCGCTGGCTCTGCTGGCAACATCGCCTTCTGAAAGCAGAAAAGGGGCTCCCGCTTGATACTTCCTCCAAACACCAGCGCCCCCAAGTGGAGGGGGCCTTCTGCTGACCAGGCACTAAACGAATCGACGCCAGATGAGTAATCACTTCCGATGTTTTTTTGTTTCTGAGGGTAATTTTCTAGATTGGATGCCTATTTGGAAGGACCGAAAACGCCCGCGCTGCAGCGAGAGCGCGTTTTGGAACAACCAGAGGCGCAGAAATGGGGCCAGCGCTGCAGCGGGAGCAACAGTTTGAAGGGCCGAAAAAATCGGATTGCCAAAAACCCAAATGCAAACCATGAAATGAGGCTCGCGCTGTAGCGGGAGCACGATTTGGAACTAGCGGAAGCGCGGAAATGAGGCCAGCGCTGTAGCGGGAACACGATTCGGAACAAGCGGAAGGCCGAAAATGAGGCCAGCGCTTCAGCGGGAGCAGCATTTTGAAACAAACCCAAGCGAAAACCCAGTTCCTGGGAATCCTGCGTGTAAAAAAACAATGCTCGGAGGGGGTCCGGATATCTTCCAGACGTCATCAGGGGAGAGAGGAAGGAATAGTATTCATATCGTGTAATTGTGTGGGGGGGGGGGAGGGAGGAGGAGGAGGGAGGAGGAGGAGAGAGGAGGAGGAGGAGGAGGAGGAGGAGGAGGAGGAGGAGGAGGCGGAGGAGGAGGAGGCGGAGGAGGAGGAGGAGGAGAAGGAGGAAGAGGAGGAGGAGGAGGAGGAGGAGGAGAAGGGCCCCCAAGACCAATGCCCTCACCGTGGCGAACCCGCGCGGTCCTGGGCGGGGTGGGCCATCGGGCCCCTTGTCGCCGAGGCCGAGGAATCGGCGATCTCGCGGGTCGAGCCAGCCCCCCCCCCCCCTGCCTGCGCCTCGCCTCCCCCCGCTTAGCGTTGCCCCCGGTCGTGGCGGCCCGTGGATGTCGAAGGGCCCTAACCGGCATAACCATCCGCACACATTGGAAGGGACCTCTCGAGCTTGCGTCAGGCCTGCGCAGTGTCCATAAGAGCACGAACGTGCAGAAGCAAGGTGCGGACGACGCTGCGAAGCCCTGGGAGAGCAGAGCATTGACAGCGCGAGTTCCAAATCTGCAAGTGTCAGCGCGGATTTCTACGCGCCAAGGGCGGCGCCGGAGGCGCTGCCAGGGGCCCCGGAACAGATACAAGAAATTCGCGCAGAGCGTCGAAAAAATGTTTCTGTTCTTTTCTTTGCCTTTCGAGGCTCCTCCCGCGCCGCCGCCAGCTCCGCCGCGGCCGCGCTGCACTCCGCCCGCAGCGCCTCGCACTCCGCCCGCACCCCGTCCAGCAGCTCCGACGGATCCTCGCCCCGAACAGGAATATTTTTGGGACTGAACAAACATTTTGTACCGAGCAAACATGTTTGAGACCGAACCGCATATTTTGTTGGACCGAAAAAGCATGTCCAGAGGGGCCCAGGGACAGACACACACATAAGTAGACACACGTCCCAAGATCCCGCATATTTTCCCTCAAGTTCTGGACGTTAGTATTCCCCCCACTGCTCCTATTTTCTCATATTTCCTGGGAGTCTACGATTCACTGTGTCTGTGAGCTTTCTTTACCTCCTGAATTTTTGCTCGAACGCAGAATTTGGTTCGGACCATGTTTTTTTGTCCTTCGATGCGTGGTGACATGCGCGCGCGGAGGCCCAGAAGGGAAGGGGGGGGCGATGGGGGCAGAGACGGAGGCACGTGGAGAAAGAGAGGCACACGGGGAGCCCAGAACTCCCACCTTCACCTTCCCTCTCCTCCCACACTGACGCCCTCTCCTCCTCCTCCTCCTCCTCCTCCTCCTCCTCCTGCTCCTCCTCCTCCGCTCCTCCTCCTCTCTCCTCCTCTCCTCCTCCTCCTCCTCCCTCCTCCCCTCCTCCCCCTCCTCCTCCTCCTCCTCCTCTCCTCCTCTTCCTCCCTCCTCCTCCCCTCCTCCTCCTCTCCTCCTCCTCCTCCTCCTCCTCCTCCTCCTCCCCTCCTCCCTCCTCCTCCTCCTCCTCCCTCCTCCCTCCTCCCTCCTCCTCCTCCTCCTCCTCCTCCTCCTCCTCCTCCTCCTCCTCCTCCTCCTCCTCCTCCTCCTCCTCCTCCTCCTCCTCCTCCTCTGCCTCCCCCTCGGGGCGGACGACGGCAACGATCGGCGGGCGTCGTTGCCGCTCGGCGGCGCGCCGCTGGCGGGCCGGCGGCGGCGGCGGCGGCAGGGAGAGGGAGCCGTCAGGCCAGGATCCGCCGGCATCGAATCGGGAGCTCGGCTTCAATCGAGTGGTGCGTCGGATCCTCGATGGGGGTGCGTCCGAATAGGCGGGAGGAGGATGATGATGATGAGGAGGAGGAGGAGGAAGAGGAGGAGGAGGAGGAGGAGGAGGACGAGGAGGAGGAGGAAGATGAGGAGGAGGAGGTGGAGGTGGAGGAGGTGGAGGAGGAGGTGGAGGAGGAGGTGGAGGAGGAAACAAATGGCGTGCTACAGCTCGACGCCGCGCTCCGTGATGATGAGGAAGTCGTGGGCTGTGTGGTGGGAGCGACGAAGCTTGCTGGCCAAACCGACGTCGTTGCGCCACACAGCGCGAGCAATCTGCCTGGCGAGCAAGAGAAGCGTGGTGATGGACTCGGGGTCCGCGAAGAAGGCCCTGTCGCGCACATCCCTGGCAACCTCTAGAACCACCTACTTGTGAAGCTTCACTTGCCTCGGTGGCGACAGTGACGCGTAGTCGAGCTGAGAGGAGACGTCGTGCAGCAGCTTCTGGAAGAGAGAGGACTCGAAGATGTGCCGAGGGATCCTCTAAACGCCACCAGGCTTGAGACGCCGCTGATTGAACTTCACCTTAGGCGCTGCGTGGTCGTTGAGGAGCTTATCGGCAAGGACCTCAGGCGCGTCAATGACCGTGGGCTCCGACGTGAGCTGCGTGAGGGCCCAGCCAGGCCAGTCTATCGAGAATCGACACGGAGTGGGAGTGCCTGTCCTAGTGAGTCGGCTCCTCGGACGAAGTGATCTCGGTGACGTGGCGAAGAGCGAGCGTGTAGCCAGCGCGACACATGAGCATGCTGTCCTGTGCCTTCCACAAGAGGCCGACCAGGTTGGTGAAACAAGAGAGGAGCCCGAGGAGACAACATGAAGTCGCCGTGCGCCACGACGAGCCTGAGGAGTGGGTCGCGCTGTGCAGCTGTAAGGTCCGACTCCATGGCCGCGAAGATCTGCCGCGGCTGCTTGTGGGAGAACTCGTGGTTGTGTACATTGTAATGATTCAAATCGTCTCGTCCAAGCGAAGGGCTGCTCGTAGAACGCGCCCAGGGACAAGAACAGAAGGCTGAGCAACAGCCGAACACCCCTCGGGAAGAATAGTCGCAACGCCACCCTTGACAGCAGAGGCCACGCAGTAGCTGGCGTATGTGCGAAGCCTTGGCGAGGCCGTGGCTAGGGCGTCTTGGTGTTGAGCTTGGTCCTGGTGCAGCTCCTGCAGGCACGCGATGCAAAGTCGAGCCTCTTGGCGTAGCTGAGCTTGGCCTTGCCGTGCGCCCCTTGGTCCTGTAGCAACGCCCTGGTGCTCCACGAGGTGAGGGCCAAGGAAGGCGCGCCTAGCATGCGTCCGTGAAACAGCACAGAGAACGGGTCAAATCTTCCACTCGGCCGTCTCTGGCGGAGCGACGATGGCCTTCGCAGCGGGGACGAGCGCCGCCTTGTCGAGGCCCGGCTTGACGACAAAGTTGTCGGCCCAGGATAGCCCCCGTCGCGACGTTGCCAGGCTGCGGGGGAAGTCAGAGGACAGGATCCCGCCCAGCCATGAGGTAGCCGCGGCCGCGACCGAAGCACCACCTCTTGCTGCCGTCGACGTCGCGGAAGGCATCCCTGAGCTCGCGGCCCTGGGTCTCCAGATTGATTTGGTGAGGGTTTTGCCAACGCCAATGTGAAGCAGGGGCGCCGAGCCCTCAGCACAGACCACCTCGAAGCGACGCCGCTGTCCTGGGGCCAGCCGCTGAGCGCCGAGGACCTTGGCCGCCCTGCGGCCGGCAGGGGCGGCAGCGCCCGTGAACTGAATCGTGAAGTGTTTGCAGTCTTGGATGGGAGACGGGATGTCGAATCAGTCGGCCTGCGTCCCGACAGAGACGGTCCAGTCGGACAGCACCTGCTTGACTGTATCAAGGGTGGCGAGCTTCGCCGGCACCACTCGAATTATGGTAGAACTGACGTCGCGCTCGAAGCCCGCGGCGGTGATGGGCGGCTGCTTCGGCTGCGTGTTCGCCAAGGCGAGCGAGCCGCGGAGCTCCTGGATCTGCTCCCGCAGCGCGTTGATGGAGGCGTCGTGCTCGGAGACCTTGGAGTCGAGGGCTCGCGGCTTGACGGTCTGTCCATCGATCTGCTCCTGGAAGCGCCTTGTGAAGGTGTCCAGCTTATCGCAACAAAACTGGGAGGATGCGTCGGCGCATCCTGGGAATGTTTTGGACGCCCTCAGCAAGCTTAGCAGCAGAAGCAGAATGAGCGGCCAGTTGCGCGCGGAAGTCCAGGACCTGCTCGGCAACAGTGTATGATGCGACCGCGGTGAGCTTGCCCGCGAGCGCGCCGCGGTAGGAGACCATCTTGTCCACAGTGAGCTTCTCGGCGATGCGGACGATGTGCTCGTCGTCCCATTCTCCGTCATCACGCCAGTCTTCGTCGCGTCCGCCAGAATCACTGTGAATGGGAACGGGTGCGAGAGGAGCCGCATCACCGGGAGCACGAGGAGAAGCGCCACCATGAAGAACTTCGCCTTGCGCGGAGCACGGAGGATCCAGAACTGTCGCCGGCACGGGGGTGGAGAGCATCACCGTCAACGCCCCGAGCCTTCTTTTTTCAGGCGCTGGACAGGCTCGGCGCCCGGGGCGATGCCAATGCGCTTGACGAGTTCGGGTCGGGCATGGCGATGAGCGCCGCAGGAACGGGAAACGCCCCCGTGTGCCCGCGGCGCCCGGCGTGAGGCGGCCCGCGGGCTCGCTGCGGCTGGCCAGCTCGCTGCGAGGATCGGCAGGTGACCAAACCTTGCGAGCTGGTCGCGGACTGGCGGTGTCCACTGGCTCCCCTGAGGAACTCGTGGCCTTGAGCCGAAACGGCTACGGAGGAGGGGGGGGGGAGGAGGAGGAGGAGGAGGAGGAGGAGGAGGAGGAGGAGGAGGAGGAGGAGGAGGAGGAGGAGGAGGAGAGGAGGAGGAGAGGAGGCGGAGGAGGACGAGAGGAGGCGGAGGATGAGGAGAGGAGGAGGAGAGAGGGGGAGGGGAGGAGGAGAGGAGGAGGAGAGGAGGTGAGGAGGAGGAGGAGGAGGACATGAGAGGAAGGTATCAGGATAGGCAGTAGTTGTTGGGATGGAAGGAGGAGAGGAGGAGAGGGGGGGGAGGAGGAGAGAGGAGGATGAAACGGAAGTGGGATGGGGGGATGGGGGAGGAGATAGGAGGACGGGGAGTGCCGCGAGGAGTCCGGCTTGCGTCTTGATGACGGGAGGGGCAGGGGGGCTGGCACAGGGTGCGGGGCGGCCCTAGGAGGAGGACGAGGACGAGGAGGACGAGGCGCGAGGCCATCCGCATTTGGGGGTGGCCGTCTAACTTCAGCTGTGGGACAAGAGCGGTTCCCCTGCGTGAGTAATGTGCTGCAAGGGCCCGACAGCCCTTCGACATCGATCGAAGCCGCTGCCAGGGCCCGCGCAAGGGCGGATCACGCGGCCTTCCCTCCGCGCCCCTTCTCCCGCCGCCTCCGCCGCAGGCTAGCGTGCGGCCCGTTCGCAGGGGGCCCTGTATCACCAACCAGCATCTCTCCGATGAACCCAGGGGGATTGCGGCGCCTGCGCAAGAAGGAGGGTTCCCTGAGCCCCTGTTCAACTCGCGAGCCATATTCCTCTCTGCATCCCGCGGAGAAAGAGGACCGAGGACGAGAGACTAAGAGACGAGAGGGGGGGAACGCTGGGCGAGAAGGCCTGCGCTCGAGATGCCCTCGCTAGCGCGTGCGGTTCTCCCTTCGAAGCTTGTTCAATATTGTCCTCCGCGCCAAACGCGCTCAGTTGAACCCCTGTGCTTTCCCATTCTGCAAGAGCGGGATCTTCGCGGGGTAGAAGTTGTGTACTTGTCTCCCATGCTGGCAGGAACTCCAATGCTTTCCCATTCCGAAACAGCGAATTCCACCTCTGGCAAAGTGCGAACTTTGCCGCTGGAAGCCAATAGGTACCGTAATTCACCCGCGTCAGAAAAATAATGGCCAACGTTGTTCCACGTAATGTCATATATGCCGTCCAAAGATCGTCCGTTGCGCTCCCGTGTCTCGTCTTCGATGGCAAACCTTTCAACAATTGCGCTTTTAACCGCAA